GATCAAATCTTGTAAATATGCCACGTGGTTAATCTTTCATTAATTATGCCTAATGTGAAAAATATACCTTGTACAAGATAACTGTAGGTTTTATTGCTGTGCTAGGGAAAAATCTCAAATGTTTTGATGGCGGTAGCTAGGGTGGGCTTCGCTGACCTCTCAGAATGTGCATTCTTACTCTTTGAAGGCTGTGTGTGCCTACTATGCATATTATTTTCTCTGCAATTATGCTACTAGAAATGATCCCTTATTCTTACCTTTTTATTTGATGATGCCATTGACAATTTTTCATAGTCATTTTCCTAACCTCCTTTTACAGGTTAATTATTGCCATGATATTGTTATGCTTTTTTTATATATTATATATATATGAGGAATCATTATCTTGACATGGTAATGCTATTTCGGGATATATGTGAATGTTTTTCTGTTTTGTTATGGCCAATATCATTACAGGCTATTCAGGGAAATGAGTTAAGGAGGAAGAAGAAACACAATCACCACGCGACAAACAGGTAAATGTAGTCAATGATATTCTAGATTGGTATTATTATCATTAATATTGTTGTTGTGATTATTATTATTATCATTATTATGGTTATGAGTATTATTATTATTATTATTATTGTGGTTATGGTTATTATTATTATTATTACCACCATTATTATTACCACCATTATTATTACCATTATTATTACCATTATTATTATTACCTTATTATTATTATTATTTATTATATTTTTATTATTATTATTATCATTTATATTATATGACCCACTTACATTCTCATGAATAATGTTAATTGTACCTTAGAATTTATAAGCATATTTACCCTTAAACTCAAAAGGGAACATACTGCCACTTCCACAATCTATTCTTGTCATCATTATTTTTGTGTGTATGTATGTGTATGTATGCAGAAATACATATAGGCACACAATATGTGCGTGTGTATGTTTATGTATGTATATATGTATATGTATATTTATATAAGTATAAATATATATATATTTTTATATGTATGTGTATATTGTATGTGTGTGTGTGTGTG